TCAATAGTATTTCTCTTCTGATTTTAGAATTTTTTATGTTTGAAACCCTTCATGCGATGAATACTTAAAACAATGATTAATTATACGATATTATAATTTATGAATAATACATAAACTATTTAAATGGGATTAATATAATAGTAGAAGCGTTTTACTATGCTTTAAAATATAATGTGATAATATCCTTGTTGTAGTAATATACCTATTAATTATTAATTTAATTAAGTAACTATCATCTCAACCTTGACAATATGATGATAATATTATTATGTGTTGGTTATAATAATCTGGAAATTGTATTTTATATTACGCACTGATAACTAAATAAGATATAATTAATTTTATATCTAGTTGATTTAAGATGATTAATTAGCTATAATCTTGAACAACAACAAAAGAACATGTACGTTAAGTAGATAGGTATTGAAATACAGTATTACGTACACAATAAAAATGATAAATTGACGGCTACACCATGTTATAGCAGTCATGTTTTTTAAGTCATAGGATACCATGAATGCCATAGTATTGGCAAATTCAAAGTGACGCTAAATTTACAGAATTTGTTGTAATGCTATTGCAGTCATGACAATCGATGTGTTAAAACAAAAGCAAAAAATCAGATTTTTGAAATTTTAAAAAAAAATAGGAGTTAAAAAAAATAAGAGTTTGGACCATGATGTGTCTCATGATTGACATCGTCTTTAACCAAGAATCAATTCTTGTACAACATTTACATAAATATTGTTCACTTCTATACACTAATTGTGTAATTAAATTTAACTGTTAATTTTTTTTTGTTAATTTATTAAAAAATAAAGATAATATATCCATTTCTGAAACAACTAATAAATTTAATATTCCACAGATTTTAATATTGAACAAAACTAAGTCGTTAGAAAACGGCTGTACCTAATGCCTATATAGATTAAATATTAATGTTTCATAATACTGAGTGGTTCTTATAATTGCAATATATTTCTTTTATGAAATGTGCAAAATAATAAATAAATTTGATTAGGTATGCTTTGCATTTGAAATTTATCATTCAATTTTCATCATATAATAAATACTTTTATTGGTATTTCCGATAAACAATATTCTTAAATATCTAAATTATGGTAACTGGTAAGTATGAGGTTTTTAAATATAATAAAGTTTAAACGTAATACCAGCTCTATACCATACCGCTATCATATCCGCTCTAAAATCTGACACTATTCCAGGGAACCTTCCTAGAAAATTTAATAGAAATTGGATCCGATATTTAAATCATTGCTAAGTGCTATAACACTCATTTTAAGAAAACAATTAAATTTAGAGTCTAGATTCTAAACTGTCTAATCAAATTCTGAAGTGTCGCTTTGTATGGGTTGCTACACGATGCCCGTGTTTATGTAGAGTAAGCTTGAAGTATCCAATTTCGTAATTAAAATTCATAGCCGATTTGAGAAAACACACAATTCTATGATTAGGGTGTGGCGTCGCCTAATTGCAATGGAAAATCTTAATTGTATATAAATAAATTGTACAAGTGAATGTATTTGGAAAAAATATTATAATACTATATACGATTTAATAATTTACGACGAACCACGCACAAGTACATATTATACAAAAGAATATAATTAAACATGATTATATTGCAATGTGTAGAAGCTGGTAATAAATAACAGTTTACATGGATTTACGAGAGCACGACTGCGTAGATGCAAACGGACTTTAACAAGTATTATACGAATATAAAAGGTGCGCGTTTCAATAACGATTAACAAATGTGGATAGGTAATTAAAAAGCAGTAAGCTTAAGCTTACAGGTAAATATTGCCAGACCGTGACCTTGGAAGAACTCAATGATGACTAGGGTTACAATAAAAATATTATTACAATAAAAATAATAATAGGCATTTCGTGGTAATACAAGTACATATTGTATACAGAGTAACAGGAAATATTGTAACAGGAACACCTGACAGTTGAAATAACTTTTTGTTTTACTCAATGTTTTTAATTTTTTTTTTTTATATATATATGATTTATAGCCACTTGTGCTACACACACAATTTGTTTTTATTTTTTATAGCTAAAAATAAAAAATTTAAACGTTGATTTAAAATATTCAAATTTGTAAATCTATTTATAAGAAAAATTTTATAGTAAAAACATTTATCTAAGTCAAGTAGTTTATTTTTTTAGAATTTTTTGAAATATAAAATTTTATTGAGTAAGCACCTAAATTAATTTAGAACGTTATGACTTTTTTAAAAATACTATGTTTGGGAATTTTTTGACGTGAGTATATTTCTTAAATTATTTAATAACGATATAAATTTCACAATTTTCGTCATACTTTTAAATAGCGTTATTTTTTTTATTTTTTTTTTGTCAGGTCTTCTTATTATTACACTGTATGTTATATATTTTTATATTATTTAAATATAAAGAAATTCATCGGGAACTTACATTATTATTGATTGAAAAACAATTAATTCAATATGAGGTAGATACATTTATTATTTCCGTTGCTTATTTTAGGTGATTGTACATTTAAAGTCGGTTTATAATAATTGAATTTTAATAAAAATCAGCTAGTTATAAAATATTGTATTTTTTAAATACGTAAATTTTTTTTTTCTATCAATATGCTATCATTATTTGGATTCAATCTAAGTACCAGAATACTTCAAGTGCAATTCATATTATGTACATATTATAGGGATAGTGATCTCTAATATTGTATTATTATGTAATTAATATAAATTTAATTTACTACACATATAAATAAATTACTTAATTCAAATTATAATAAATTATCAATTTGTATCAATTAGTTCAAAAATTATAGCTGATAATACACATTAAAAATAATTAAAATAAAGTATTAAAAAACTATGATAAAAAATTAATAAAAATGTAAAACTGAAATAATGAGTAGAAGTAATCATCTGAGTAAAAGTTGACACTTAAATGGATCACCTAGTATAATAGATGACTTTCAATCGTCGGATGAAACTTAAAATATTAAATATACCTACGTTGTAATTATTCTATAAATAACCGATACTGATATTATCTTGATTGATAATCTTTAATTATATTCAATAAAATTTTAAAATTTGTTAAACATTATACTTGGGCTATGCGGTAATTGGTGTTATCAAAATCTATGTATTTCAATAATTTGTATCATATTATGGGCGAGGCTTATTCAAACGTCCATCATAATTTATGATTTTATGAATATTGATTTTTTAGGGATCTAGGTAGAGATAAAAATATAAAATAAACATAAATGTTCTTGTAATATTTTAAAGAACATATTAAATTAAATATCCAACCGTTTATAGGCCCAATACAATTATTTATTTCACCCAAAATCTAACAAAACAAATTTAAAAATTACATTTCATCAAACTGAGAAAAAAAATTAACATAAAATATTTTTTTTTAAATAATGATAATAATACAATTGTGATGTACACTTCACAAGATTAAACTTGTAGTTTATTTTGCAACAATAGTTGGATGTAAATAAAAAAAAATAAAAAGTAATATTTAATAAATATTATTTTTATCACTCGTTTATACGCTCAATATACTGGATTATACGCTAACAAAACATTTTTGCTCATTAACAACGTGCAATATTACGTTATTTCATCTAAACCAAATCTATTATAATATTACTATAAGCGTAGATTTAACGTAAAAGTATAATATACATTTACAAAGTTAGCTATATATAGACTATTCATGTACGTGCTTATTAAATTGGATTAATTAAACATCCAATAAATAAGAAATTCGAAAAAGGGTCTAATCGACTTGCAAACATAGTAATATAAAAACAGTTAATTTCATTACCTACTTACAATACTAACATATTATAGAATTTATGTTCATGACTTAAACTTTAAAATTTAAACTAAAATATATTGAGGTGCGATTATATAGGTATAGTCATAAAAATTAAGAACTGAATATTTACAGGCTTAATAGGTACAGAAATGTTTGCTTGATTATTATACAAGTTAGTTTTCTATGTATACGTAATGAACAAGAATTTCCAATTTAAATAATATCGCTTCAGGAACAAAAACCATGAACTAAGTACACTCACACACACACACACACGCGTACATATATATATATATAAATGTATAGACGATCTGATGAGAAATTTACTTTAGGAAATTTGTACAGATTTTTTCACGAATCTCGTGAGATCCCTATTATGTTTTAGTCACACATTTCTGATCATTCCGTGTATAATAAGTATATATATATATATATAACATGTGAGCAATATTAAATGTGTGTAACAAACATATTAATATACATTATTATACAGACATGTCCATAAGAAAGTGTATATATAATATAGTAATCACTCAATAATAATTCCACACAATCATATTTTAATGCTACTCAACGTAATTTTTAAATACTTATAACTATTACATTTTTTTTTTTTTTGTTCAAGTAACAATAATGTTTAGTCTTCGCCAAATATAATATTATGGTTCTCAATATTTTTGAGTTACCTACTATGTGATAACAAAAACAGACCACCAATTGTTGGTAGTCACCAACAGTAAACAATTATTATAATAAATCTACAAAGATCGAGACATGAATGTTTGGTATGTAGTATAAGGACCTACGTTTAACACGGTAACAATATATAGGACGGACCGAACAATAATGGCGCCAAATGGATGCCACTTTTAATAGAACAAAAATGAACCGATAATCACACATCCGTATAGAAGTGTAACGGCCAAATACATTCGGAAGGAATATTCCCGAGTATTAACCAAAACGGTCATTATAATAATATTTTATTATTATTTACATTAGAAATCAAAGAACATATTGTTTTGGGAAGACTCGTTGTCTGCTTGTCGTAGTTGGCTGCATTGCTCCTCCTCCGACTGACCAGCAGACTGATCAAATGACAGAAGTGATACTTCCATAGAGTCGGTGGAGGATAGCGACAATCATAGGGACCTGGAGTCGAAAATCTGTAATGATTTCGTGATTGCCTCGTCCTGTCGACATTCAACCAACAATTAGTCATAAATAGTGTATTCTTCGCTAATAAAATAATATGTAAAATTTAAAAATATTATTCGATGGTTATTACCTTCAAACATGATTCGATAAATTCTTCAAACGTAATCACGCCATCTTGATTGATATCGAGTTTTTGGAAAACCATATCGGTGTGATCTTTGGATTTAGTACTACCACGACCCTATCAAAAATAATATACAATAAATATTAAATTTAAATGTTCATTCAAGATTCAATTACAATAAATATAATATAATACAATATAGGTAATTATATATTTTACATATAATATAGTTAAATTATAATTAAAAAACTATTAAAAATAATTAAAAAATATTATTTTACTATTTTACTATCTTTTATACTATTTTAAATATAATTTGTAACGTAACACATTACATATTATTCCTTTATAAGTAAAATAAACTAATATCACCACCCCATAATAATGTATAATATTATCCGAGTCTGAGCATCATTCAGATAATATTTTTCCAATACCACCGATATTGAAAATAATAATGCAATTAACCACAAACATAATAATATTATCAATAACAAAAATAATAATCATATACAGAGGGTTCAAAATACAACTCTCTTTCAAATCAACCTGACTGCCGTCTGTCCCTATGTATAAGACCTAAAAAATTAAGGCTTCTTAAGAGGGAAATTAATGATTCAAAACGGTCTACCCCTTTGAAATAAGAACCAAGGATTTTCGCAAAAATACCAATTTCTTGAATGGCCTACGATACATACATACTTACACAGTTACACCACTAAACCTAACCAACCAATTTAAAGCTCAAAGACATTTCAAATGTTATCTCACAACTCCCTACGTCCTTTCATAATAATGGATGACTTAAATATCCACAAAATATGTAGCTTGACAAAATGTTCTTAATAATCGGGCTTTTCCTTCTCCCCCAATAAATTCCAATGTATAATCTTCACAAAGAATGCAGATGCCACCCAACAACAAATATCAACATTTGTGAATTGGTACCAATTAAGTAACATCAACATAATTAAACTTTTAGGTATTACTACGTTCAACAAAAAATGCTCGTGAAAACTCACAACACATCAAAAAGTTCAATAGTTACATATAGTTAAACTTATAGGTTATCTATAGAGAATAGAATTATATGCACTGAAAACTGCCAAAATATGCATGACGTGCTTATAATATAGGCTAAAAAACACTGAATTACCAATAAATATTTTTATAAAAATCTATACCTACCAGTAAAAAAACCTTTTAGTACTACAATTTTTATTTTTATTTAGTTTACTGGTAATTAAAAATATAAATTTTTTTTTACATTTATCGGCCATTTAACTAGTTTTTGTACATTGAAAAGCTCCGCTCCAATTCAACTAGTAAAATTGGTGCATATTTAACATATAATTAAAAATTTAACATGTTATCTGGCCAAAAATGTACGGGTCTGTTTAGCCATTATCAGGTCGCTGCAATGTTCTACTTTTTGTATCTATAATAGAACTATAATGTATACATTTCCTATTCTTATTTATTATAATATATTTTCATAAAAAAAACGGTTAAAAGTTATTTTAATTATACGGCCGTATCATATTATATTATATAGGTACTATAATATGCAGTAAACAACGATACATCTGATAAATATGCATAAGTATACAAAATACATTTTAGATTTTGAGAGGAGCGAGGAGGCTAGTGGTTTTACAATGGTGTTTTTTTTTTTTTTTTAATTGGATTTGTTTAGGTTTCATTTAAATTTGTAGCCATTATCTATACATTTTTTGGTCCATTCAGTAAAAATATGCAAATGCATGAATTTCTAGCCCTAGCACGTATCTATATGTAATTTAACATTGTCAATATCACCTAATGGCCACAGTTGCGAAGAATTTATTTAAATTTAAAAAAAAGTCAGAAATATTATTATAAGTGGTTTATGCAGAAAAAGTTTGGTTTGGTAATCTAATAAAAGTATGATTTAAAATATATACGACTTAAAGAAATTAAAAAAGTTAAAAATCAAATAGTTTTAATATTTATAGAGTATCCACACAAAAAGGTTATAATAATCGAAATCTTAATTCGAGTAAAAAAATGTAATATTTTTCTTAATGAGTTTTAGACTAAGAAAATCCTTTCAAACTTTATTAATCCACTCAACAAACTCGAAACAAAATTAAAATATATTATATAAGCCACATACCTGTGCATACACAGTTTGAGTTTTTACTCCTAGATATTTTATCTTTAAAGTAACGAGTAATTCAATAGAAAGTTTATTTATAAAAAATTATCTTACAATCATTAATTTTACTCTTAAGTTTGAGCTCGTATTATGTACAGTATAATATATACTACAAGTCAATATGTAATATATTTAAAAAAATTTTGCAAGTAGAGTTTTTTTACACCGTGTATTGGTAAGATTTATTAGATAGATGTTTATCTTGAATAGCTTGATAAATTATTATTTTTTTTTCTTTCTTTCTTTCTTTTAATGGTTGAAATATGTAAACTAAAGTAATTGTAGTATAAAAGAATACTATCTTGTACTTACGTCATAGTGATATAATATGGTTATGGTTAAAATCTATAAAAATAAAGCTCCAATTCTAATTTTTTTTAATCAAATTCCATTTTACATCAATATATTATTGAGTTGTCTGTACCTGTATTAACTAATAACTAGGTAATTAAAATTAATTTATTAAATTAAACTGGTACATTAAATTGGAATAATTTAATCTTCCGATTTTTAAGTAAACTATAATTTATAATACCCATTACCCATTATTACATTAACTGCAATAAATCTCGCAACATTATAATTCCACCTTTTTAAAATTCATATATTTTATGATTTATTTACTACAATTTTTCATTTAAGTTACAATTTAAATGTTTTCATACCATTTCTCAGGGATATTTATTTAAGTGTAACGACATTATTAAAAAATATATGGTCTTAATCTTTTACATCGTATTACAATATAATATTATAACACGGAGGTATTTAACTTATATAATCGAATAACAATTTGTAATTTTAAAATTAAATTAATGAATTTTAATATAATGTAAAATTGGTATATCTAATGGAGATTTCTCAAAAGGCTAATTTATGTTTTCTGTTGTGGATTTAGAATGTGCATAACATCTATATATCTTATTTTAAGATGATATATTATGTGTACAAAAACTAGCAAATAAGTTTTGTAGCTGAAGTTATCTGATATTTTGCCAACAACAAAATGTATGGAAGTTAAGTTTAAGTATTTAAATTTGTGTAAGAGAAATAACTTATCTTAAAATACAATATTAAACTTTTTGATCAATTGGACAATACACATAAAAAAAATCTTGGTTTAAACATTATATTGTTGTTACACTTACCTAAATGTTTGGCATTTATTTTAAATATTTAAAAAAAATGAAATCTCACTGTATTTAAATTAATATAATCAATATGACTATTTTTTCTTTATTCAATTTTTTTGGTCTTTTGCTTATTTTATTTTTTTTACATATTAGGTGAAACTATTATTTAAAAATATATTTCTTCACTACTAATAAATACATAATATATCTATATGTATATGTCATTACTTTTGGTGTCATCGTTTTTTATACACAATTAAAAATGCTATAATTAAAACCAATGTTTACTGTTTGAACTCATCAATCAACTTGAGTTAACGATATAAAAGAGCAGAATTATATTTATATTTAATTTATTTAGGGAAAAAATATATAAATAGTATTAAATTGGATTTTTATGAAGTTATTAATAAGTTTGACAAACTCCAAACACCTTCATTATAAAATGTTTAAATTAAATTATAAATCTTTGAAACTAGCCCCGTCTTTTCAAACTCACAATAAATTCCACATCATTTTTCAACATTTGAATAATATTATCTCTCGTACATCCGTCGCTTAACTAACAACAGTTCTAGTAGATAATAATATATGTGTCACTTAGATCGCAATGCATATTAGTTGGCACTCGGCACAAAGTTCTCATACTTAGTTATTCGGGAAACTGTAAGACATCCATTAAGATAACGCAAATATATACTTCATTGCTTATGCACACATACACACATCACACACATACACTCACACATGCATACATACATACATACATACATACATACATACATACATACACTCCCACTCAATGTATATATATATATATATATAATATATTTGTGTGTAATATAAAGACGAGTTGAAATATTATACGTACTTGTGGTCTTTTGCCCATCAGCTCGTGGATGGCTAACACGATTTGACTGAGCTCCGACCTCGTTATGCATCCGTCGCCGTTTAGATCGTACAGCTTAAATGTCCACCTGAGTTTCTCATAAATAGACCCACGAAGCAGAGTAGACAGAGTCATCAGCATATCCTGCATAGTTAATGTAATTAATTGAATAAGCAATATAGATACCCATGTTGGCAATTGGACATTTGGACGAAACAACGGTCAGCTGCACGTCTTATACGATCCGCTCAAGCAAATCGGCGAGGTTTTACATTTTTAGTAAATCGCATATTTTACGTTTCAATTCGTGTTATTTTATTCAAAACAAAAAGTAAGGTTACATTATACTGCCGGTATCTGTAAAGTTTCACACCGAGAATTTTGAGAGCTCATCATCTTACCCGCGATCGATAGTTTTAACGCTTTCGAGCACCGGGAAAAGGGAATTCCGAAGAGAGGCCAAACTCCCAACAGCTATAATATTGGAATTATTTAACGCACGAAAATGAATGGCATCTTAAAACATTCAGAATACAATGAAATACTAAAAAAAAATATCGAACCATTCGACGTTTGCACATCTTATGTCATCGTTGAGAGAACGTCGATTTATGATATTTATGCTTCGATAAATCCCATATGATATATGCATTTGAATTATTTTCGCTTGCATTATAAATTATAATAAATAACGAGCTATACAAATAAAATGATATCGAACAAATTTACCGTATAAAATTGATTTATATAATTATACTTGGTAAATGTTCAAAATATTATACGTTGACAGCTGGTTAATAATGTTCAAACTATATATTTTGAAGATTTATGATATCCAAATGAAATAATTCGTTATAACTCTGGGAAATATTACAGAAATTAAATGATATTAGACCGTAACAATGGAGCATTTTCAAGAATTTGTTTGATAACGAAAAAAGTTTTTATCTATTGTCTTTTGGAACAAAGTGTTTTATAGTGCATTTAGTAATAATGGTAAATCAAAGAATTTATACAAACGTACTATAAACATTTCAATAATGGAAGTAGATTTCATTCTCAATATTACATTTAAACTTGAAATTGTAATTATTCTAATGCATTAGTTTGAACCACACAATTTAATTGTATAAGAAATAAAAAATAAATATTCAAGGATAATAGACCCAAGAACATTAAAGATTTATACATGTCTACTATTCATAACTTCAACGAAAAAATAGTATCCAATAATTCATAAGACTTTTTAAATTAAACTAAATCAAACAAATAATGTATACAAATAATTGTGGAAACTAAAATTTAAAATATAATCTTTTATTGATAGAAATAAATTCAATTTATTTTTGTTTTTAATGGATATTGATTAATTGTTTGTAAAAAGAAAAACTGTGCATAATTAAATATTTTTACTGTCTTGTTGAATTTTGAAAACTTTAAATTTTATTCATTCAAATTATACTACAAATGTAAACTTCAAATATTCTCAAAAAAACTAATTTATTTTCTGTATATTATTTACCCAATTTTTATTCTTAATAGACTCGTCCACACTAAAATTACATAATATATATAAATGTATTTATCCGTTGTACAAATATGAAGTACCTATACCGGGCTATAGAATACAATGTTTATATTTGTATAATTATATATTATAATAAAGTTAAGAATGACTATATATAATATTATTATGACAGAAAAAAATATTTCAAGCTAGTTTAGATTTTAACGTGCATACGAATTGTAATTATATATTGAGTTTAGACAAGGTACATAATATGAGAATTTTATTTCAACAAATATGACGTATAGGTAATAGGTATCTATAATAAATTACTTAATGCATATATATATCAATTTAATTTAGACTATAAAAGGATTAAAATGGCTTCCACAAAATGGATAGAAAAACACTTTTATGACTTCTTTTAATATTTTAATAATGGGCTTATTCTGCACGCAATGTTATTTGCGTCAGATGTTAACATATATTATCAAGTGAGTACAATACAAACTTACTTTAAAACTAATTGCACCATTGCTCTTGACATCAAATGCTTTGAACACAAAATGAGCATATAAATTCGAATCTATAAATAAATATAAATTCAACATATAATATAATATAATATAATATATAATATATATATGCAGTTTGAATAAGCCTATACGAAAATATTATAAATATTTTTACAACATATGATAGTACAGTATACAAATATATCTTTTAAAATGTAATTAGAAACCAAACTACTCCACCAAAAATATAATTACATACTTCCGTGTGGAAAAAACTTGGAGTAGATATCTTTGAATAGATCTTCGTGCACTACTCCTTCTGGACATTTCTGAAACAATCAAGTACAACTGATGGTATTACTTCAATAGTATAATTAACAAATATTTTTAATTCGTAAAGTTTTTACAATTATTCAGACCAAGTGTTGATCATACAATAAATTCCATTATATTAAAGTCATTCAGTTGATCAATCAATTGATAATATTTTGCTGACTACCAAACTAGAATAACATTTATATAGTATTTCATTATAATATGTCATCATTGACATTTACAAAAAAGAATCATCAATAATATAATGAGCCTATAAATAGTTGAATTTACAACTTTACTATATAAGGGTGAGCTTCTACAGCGTTTCTATACATAAATGAATTAAGAAATTATTACGCATCTAAGAACAATTCAAAATTCAAAATACTAAAAAAAACAAAAAGTTTAATATAGATTTAAATCGAAAAAATCTTGATCAAAGTTATTTCTTTAATAGTATGTTATTTAACTGTATTGTGATTTTTTTTTATATATTTTAAGGTTAATACGTTTTTATAACCTATAATTTGAAATATTCGAGAAAATAAAACGTATTTTTACCATTGTAATCATGTGTAGAATTAATGTATTTAGAAATTATAAACATTATTGGTTTTTTAAAAATTGAATTCAAATAACTATACATAAAGGTATTAGATATTTTTAGAACTCAGTGACATATTATACATATAAAATCATACATTTCATTAAATATTTGTGAATGATTTTAGTCATTGTAAAATTACAAAAGACGTAATTTTGTTGCCAAGGTTTTTTAGTAATATAACGCTTATAAAATCATAATCCACTATAGTATAACAAACGAATTATTCAATGATATTCATTATTGGATAGCATCCAAAAACCCAAAACAGTACAATGATCACATTCATAATTATTATTATTTTACCCTTGTTAAACCAAGGGTAAAATAATGAATAAATTAGCATACAATACTAGGTAGATATAATAGATTTAAAATAATTTAATTAAGTTACATTAAGTTCATTAATACTATTATAAACAATAACAGCAACTGGATGTTTGAATTATTCATAATATTACCAAGTAGAGTTGTATAGAGTTATTAAACAGATTTATATGCCTACTATGTTTTCTTTAAATAAACAATATCAGAGTCCCTACTCACCAGACCAGATATAACTTTTTCTCCGTTACCCCGTTATCTACTTAAAAATATTTATCTTATTCTCCTTTATCTTAGCCCATACGACTTGCTAATTTATTTTTTGACACGAAATTAATTCGTTTTTTTATCAATCAACTATATAAGTATAGTATATATATAATATATGTTTTTCATGAAAAAATTATTTGTTATATTTTTATAATTCATATTATTATGTTTTGAAGTGAATGCAGAATACAATAATAACCAACTAAATAATATTGGATAAGGAAGTAACATTCGTTTATAAGTACTTTGTACGTTGTATCTAAACATATTAATATAATCTATATGCTCTTCGGTAATCATTAAGTTCTTCAACAAGTTAAAATGGGTATAGTATCACAAATACTACTAAAAACTACTATATATTGGCATTCTGCCCTTATAGAACACAAATATAAAACTCAACCTAAACACTTATGTACCACAATTGCCTACAAAAAACGCCGTATTACACAAATCCTATAAATTCAATATCAACACTTTGTTTCTCTTGTCTATAATATATTGCCAAACATAAACACAGCAATACATATATACATTTATATATATATATTTATACATATAATAGTCACCGCTTATTGGACTCGCGGTTTATGGACTCATTCCGCGCCTATTGGACTCAAAAAGACTCGTCCCGATTTACATGTATACTTACACATATTAAACAAATTCGGTTACTGCGGACTCACTACACTGAATAATGGGGTGAATGTATATTTTTAAGGGAATCTTTCCTCAATTTTTAGACCATTTCCCGATTTCATCGTTTTTACTTTGTAAATAACATTTACATCAAAAGGAGAAGCTGTTTAAGAAGATCACAAGTGAGAACATTACATTAAATGTTATGCAAATTGTCTAATTAACCATACTTAAGTACCAATTATAATAACTGTTATATTATAATACATAATTCCCATGAAAAAATGTATTAATATAATATTACAAAAATATTGAAAGAAAATAACTAAGTGTGTTTTAAATATTTAATAGAAAATCATTTTTATAAATAAATATATATAATCGCATTTTTACATGTACATAAAAATTAAACAACGAAATTATCAGTCTCAACGATATTTAACTCATATCGTTGATCGATAATATTTCATTTAGTAGTAGCGAAAATATGATTTAAACTAACAATTGATATTCTCTTTCCCTTTCGTCCTAGTAAAATGTACTTAACCCTAACCTTAATCTAATTAAAATAAATTATAAATGTAATGTAACTAATGACATCAGTTGTGAAACATTGATGAAAAAAAAATGTGATAAAAAAAGAAAAAGAAAACATTAATGTCAACATAAAATAATAGGACAGGAGAGAAAAGCTTTGAACAATTTATCGTGAGAGTAGGTACCTACATAATCGTACTACAATACATAACATTGTATTGTACGCATAGACTAGTTACATGATAAATTACCTAATGTAAATTAATTAACATATTATTATCGTTGTGAATGTAAATTTTAGTCAACCGTTTCTATGCAATTTCACAATATTTGGTTCATCTAAGATACGCTACACATTATTCTAAACAAGAGCTAAAATCTATTTTTACATTTTAATATTATACAAAATGATTATTTTCATCAAGTATAAATAAATTTATATATCGGAAAAACTTAAAGCAGTTGTTTCAATCATTTTAACTTTCAATTCAAGAGTTCACTATACAAAATATAAAATTTTTATATTTAAAAATGTGCGAATAATAATTTGGAACGATGTTACAGTAGATTGGTTAATTGTAAAACTATGTAATTAATGCCATACAATCCTCATTATTAATATATTGTAAAGTGTAATAGACCACTTTTTATCCAAATACATGGTTTATACAAAACTCTATTTAAATTTAAAAAGTAATTATTAAATGAATTTTAAATGTTTCTTCTGGAAACAAATAACATTATCCTAGTAAGTTCAAACACATCTGTACAAACACGTTGGCATAGGTACGTTAACCATAAAATATTATTTATGTTAAAATAATTTAATAATAATATTATCATGTATCATAATTATATTAATAGGTATATAAAACAAAACAATAATAGTGCTTAATATAATATACTGCTATCATTTCCTAAGAAATACTATTTTTTAATAAGAATCGAACTCCGTATCAGCCTACCTAAGTTTAAGTTTGTACATTTTTAGAATATATTTTCAAGACCTTAGACCTATGTTAAGTGCTAAGGAAAACTCTAGGACCAAATATGACTTGTCACCTGTATTAGCATTCACATTACGACGTCACACGTTTTAGAAATGTGATAAGCCCGTTTCGTTTAGTGAGTTTCTACACGTACCCTAGTAAGTAGTATTTTCTTTGTGGACATTATACTATTACTTAAAAGAAAACGGTTGACGATTGCAGAATTGTCTTATTTATAAATATAATAATGGGTTTCGTTTATGTAACACGACACACGTGAAATAATAATAACAGTTGAACTCTACGTCTCTACCAACAACTGCAGAGCAAATGTGTAATCATAAGTCATAACGACCGGGAAAATAGTAATCGAACCAAGAAATGGTCAGGCTGCTATAAGATTATGTTCTATAATTGTTCATTATTGTGTGCAATATAAATCATAATATTATATTATAAGTTATGTCAATTAAAAGAAGTTTTATAATATTGGGATTATACTCATCACATTATTATAAGATACTAAAAAAAGCTCATTTACCTAACCTGAAAAGTTTTATAATTTATTAAAATTGATAAGTGACAAATGTTAAATGTATTTAAATGTTCATAATTTGTATTTAGTTTAAATACCAAATTCATAATATTTGTATACCTAAAAATATAGATATATTGAAATAATATCTATGCATTTATTTTTTAACTGTAATTTTATAAAAAATCAACTTTATAGGACTCTGCTCCAATCCCACCGAGCAGCGATGACGACGACGTTAGATGACTTGAAGGTTGCGAGGAGGAGCAGCGTGAACGATAAATAACACGTTATGGCGATGAACCCCTACACCCTACACCCTACACCCAACCCCCAACATGAGTGTTTCTTAAACTTTTTTATCCGTGGAACCCTCTTTTAAGTCCACTTTTATCGTGGAAACCCTACTTTTTTTTTCTTTAGCTTTCAACAATAAGTTATAACAGCTCGATAATTATAACCCTTACTTTGTTTCAATAAATTGTAATTTTTAGCGTACATTTATGTAAGGATTATTGGCAATAAATATTATAATAATGATGTGTATATATTGTATTTAATTCAAAAAATATTTTAAATAACAGCCAAACGAGACTTAAATTTTAATGAGAGTTTCGCGGACCCCCGCAATTTAAGAAACGCTACCTTACACAATCCCAGGAGCCGTAGAGTAATTTCAAACTTAAACGAAATACAAAATTTCTAAAAACCACACACAATTGTAACATTAACACAATTAGGTATTATTGTACAAACGGTCATAAACTATTTTACAAGGTATATACATAATATTGTACGTGAATTGAGACGAAATCAAAAACAAACGAACCGCAGTTAACTCTGACAGATATTATTATTATTATTATTATAGGTAGGTATACTTCGTTTCTGTTTGTGCTATTGTACAGTCCAACTTAAACAGGGAGCATTAAGATATGTCGATATGACTATATACGCTCGTTTTTTGTTTAGGTGTATAAGTTTTAAAATATACAAACAATACATGACGTGAACCTGCATAGTACCTGCGTTAATCTTTCCGTAAACGATTGTACGCGTTTTCATCAGTGCTTTACATAATGTTCAAGTCGGTTATGTATATGTGCACGTGCGTGT